GAAATGGGAGTAGGCCAACCGGGAATAAACCCCTCTGACCACCACCGCGATAACATGAGATAATGACAAGCATGTAACACGCGACTTCATGCTAGGGGTTGGAGATTCCCACTTGTGGTTGGTTGCAAGCACTTACGTATATCACACTGTATATATCACACTTCTTGCTTAAAGTCTTGCTCGAGTGTCGGCATTATATCGAATATGCATGCCTTGCATGTATGCCTATGCTTAATGCTTAATGCGTAATGCTCAATGCTTAAAGCTTAATGCGTAATGCGTAATGCTTAATGCTTAATGCTTAATGCGTAATGCTTAATGCTTAATGCATGTATTGCATGGGCTAATAGTAATACTCAAGAGCTAATACAGTACACAATCTATTATCCGAAACTTTGAAAACCGAAAAGCTCCAAAAACCGAGTTTTTTCGTGGTCGTCTCAAAAAAAAACCACACCAAAGATCATGCTTGGCTGCACAAGGTTCACTGCAGAAATCTGAATGTGTTTGGCATTACTCATACATATTGTACTGTAGTAGTACTGGTACAGCACCTGACCTCTTGAAAACTTGGGTTTTAGTACCGACTCGTTGCAGGATATACGCTATGTACATCTGTACTGTACTACCATGCCGAAATCCGAAAAATCCCGAATTCCGAAACGTGTCTGGTCCCAAGGGTTTTGGATAATATTATTGTGTACTGTAATAAAAGAGGTCTTTATGAGCTCTTGATGCTATGTGTATGTGTATATGTATGCCGAAATTATCACGTAAATGAATTGCATTGAATACGACGTTTTCGTACGAATATCTTTTATTGATTATAGAAATCGTTGCATAAACTTGTTGTGCACGTTTACATACACGACACGTGGATGTACATGCACGTAGACGCACACAACACACTCATATGCACCCATGCACGCGCACACGTACACGCGCGTGCACGCATGCTCACGTGTGCATGCACAACGTTAGGTAACGCATACAACGGACATTGCTCTGCCTGTATTTCCATTTACTTCGCATCAATATCATTATATCGATTGATTATCAATTATCATCGACTGCATATTTTAACACAAGTTATTTGTATGTGCACAGTTAAATTATTTCATCGTAATCCGGACGTGTAATGTAAATTTGCGAAAGTTACTCGAATAAAATCGGTTGATTATAATTAAAACGACTCGTTTGTTTTCCGACTGCCCGAGAGAGCGGCTGCGGCGTTACCATGACGATCGACCTTCAATTCTCCTCCACCTGTTCAAACGCCTCGCCGATGCGCACAGCTGCCCTAGCCAGGCTCACCGACTGCATATTCATTATCATCGCCACGACGACCCCGCGCGGCAGCTGCCTGTTCCTCTCACAGATGGAGCCACCAGCGTCGTCCGCCGACCTGCGCGGCAGAATCACGAGCGCGGTGCTGGCTCCGACGGCGCCACCTGTGTGCAGGTAGGCGCGACACTCCTTGCGGCAGTGCGCGCGCGTCTGATCGATCGCGACGACGTCCCAGCCCATCGCGTAACGCCACGGCCTGCCGCCGCTCGCCGGCTCCAGGGGGCGCCACAAGTCCTCGACGGTCTCGTGCGACAGGTAACCGGGCAGACACCTGCGCGTGGCCGTGTCGACTGCGGCGCCCCCTGTCTTACCCGCGGCGCCCCCTGTCGTATCCGTGGCACCCCCTGTCGTATCCGCGGCGCCCCCTGTCGTAGCCGTGGCGCACCCTGTCGTAGCCACGGCGCCCCCTGTCGTACCCGCGGCGCCGCCTATCGTACCCGCGTCGCCCCCTGTCGTAGCCGCGGCGCCCCCTGTCGTATCCGTGGCGCCCCCTGTCGTATGCGTGGCGCCCCCTGTCGTAGCCGCGGCGCCCCCTCTCGTACTCGCGCTGCCCCCCGTCGTAGCCGCGGCGCCCCCTGTCGTATCCGCGGCGCCCCCTGTCGTACCCGCGGCGCCCCCTGTCGTCTGCGCGCCGCGGTCGCAGGCGGGGCAGGGCCGGTGTTGGTGACTGTACAGCATCGCGGTGCCGAACGCTATCAGGTCCGGCGCCGTCGACACGATGCCGCCGCCCGCCCACTTGCTGCTCAGGTCGACGTAGGGGGCGTTGACGAGCCGCCCTCGCTCGTTCTTTCTGTAGTAGCTGCGGGAGAGACAGAGAGAGGGGAGAGACGAGGCTTAGAGTCGTCCCCGGCGGCAGTTCAATTCAATTCGATTTACTTTATTTACACTTACGAATTACATTTCGGAGGTAACGTGCATTAATTAAACAAGCTAATTATAGACAATGCTAATGAAATTAAAAGGTCCCCCAGGTCTACAGGGCTCTAGTAATACGGTTACAACAGGTTCTACCCGGGGTGAAATTTTCCGCCTGCACTTTTCCCTGGTGACAAGTTACTGTCTGGCAAGTTACTGTCGGCCTGGCAAAATAATTCCTTCTAATTCTGATTCTGTTAGTTTCTAAAGCAGGGGAGACACTATGCGAATTTCGCTGCGATCAGATCCACAGCGAAATTCGCGGCGAAAATATTCGCACCCGCATGCGATAATTGAGCGGACACACTACACGCGATCTACTGTCGCCACACGGCTCCAACCATCGCTCCAACAGTCACGTGATCTCTGGATTGCCGCTATTTCTCAATCACGTGATTATCATACTGATCAATGATTCGCTGCATTATAACATCGGCCGGCTCGAGTTTCGCTTCCACGGACACACGGTGCGAATCTGTACGCAGCGGTAAAAATCCGCAGCGAAAATATCAAACATGTTTGATCGCTGCGAATTTCGGTGCGGATGACATTCGCCCTCGCTTAAGCGGACACACGATGCGAATTCCGCGGCGGTTTTAAAAACCCTGCTTCTGTTCTGATTTTATTCTGATTCTGTTCGTTTCTAACCCTGTGCTGCTACTCACTGCGAGCGGTGATAGATGAGATGCCCTGGCTTGTCCACCTGCGTATTGCTCATACCAAGGTCGTCGAAAAGTCGCTTCAGCCTCCGCGTGAACTTCTGACCGCTAGCGCCCTCTACCACAGCGCTGATCAACGTGTAACCGTGCGTCGTGTACAAGAACTTCTTACCTGCCGAACGATCACACGAACGAGACGACGTCAGCATCGCAAACAACTACACACGGCAGGGGTAGAAATTAACTTTTGAACACGGGAGTCCAACGGACTCCCTGCCCTCAAAAAGAGGGAGTCCGCAGTCTGGGGTTCAAAATGAAAGATATTAACAATAATGCATGTGCTTATGTCTGCCAAATTTTCTTTGGACATTAGCTGAAAAATACGGTAATTCCGCGAGGCCGTGCTCCGGAACGAACTAAATAGTATGGCAGAATTTGTCAAATCAGGGAGTCCGACAGTAAATCAGGGAGTATCATGGCATATCATCATCATGGCATATGGCATATCATGGGGCATCATATGGCATATCAGGGAGCATCATATATCATATCATGGAGCATCATATGGCATATCAGGGAGCTGGATATGGCATATCAAGGAGCATCATGGCATATCATGGCATATGTCAAATCAGGGAGTCCGACAGTAAATCAGGGAGTATTTGACTCCGGACTCGCGTTAATTTCGCATCCTGACACAGCACTTGCGTTTCACAGCAGCGGCATCAGCAGCCGGGCTACTTTTCTCGCTTGCTGTGGGTTCCCTAACTAAAAAAATCGCCGATATCAACAGCGATAAACTGCACGGTGCCCTCTCTCATTTCTCGTCGTGTACGCGTGCGTACCTTTTGTCCCACGTAAAAAGCATTGCGATTAAATTTGGTATTATAACCCTTCTTTGCAAAGCAATGTCGGTGTCTCTCCAACTTGCAGGTAGTTGAATCCTTCCCGCGCCTATATGGCACATAGGGCGGTGCCTATCTCCGTTTCAGTAACCCCGAGGCCCCGCAGCTGCTTTCACAGTAAATGCTACAGTAGTGCAGGGGTTAGTGCACTGGTAGCACTGCGAGTTAACTTGCCACAATTCTTATCTCTATTGCTGAAATGGCTAAGCAGCCAGAAGCCATGTGTAACCATTTTTCAAGTCTTTGTATGACCCGGCCCGGGAGGTTGACCCCCGACCTTCCACATTACGCCAAGTCGCGAGCACTTAACCACTGAGCCATAGCCAGGGCCGTAGCCTGCGGGGGGTCAAGGAGGACAGCTGTCCCCCCTAGATTATGGAGCCCATAAAAAAAATATTGTTACTACTTAAGAGCATTGTGCTAGTCAGAATGAAGGCTGCTACATGTACTAAAAGTGCCTCAAATTACCATCTCTGCAATCTACATTTCCAACAATTTCTGGCGCGGATGCGGGGGCATGCGGGGCCAGGGAGCGACCCCTGCACCCCCATCCTGTTCTCTCACCCGCCTCATTTAAAATCATTGGCATCGCCCTACTGCCCCCTTACATGCCCTTAGGTATTTGCTCAGCCTACGACCCTACAGTCCTACTGACGGGCGGGCTGATCTAGCTTTCAGAAGGAACTTGATAGCGAGACAGAAGGGCGTTGTTATTTCAGTAAAGCGCGTGCCGAAGGCACGCGGTGCCTTAGGGTAGGTCGCCCGCGTTCGGGCTCGGGGGCATGCCCCCTCCCACCTTGAAAACTCATTGGCAGCTTTGTAGTCACAGTGGGAAATCCCTAGTTTCTATCAGCCTGCCCAGACCACTTTTTTTATTTATTGCGCCCCATTTTACTTACTATCATAAACATTAGTCAGTGGCCCTGAACAGGCGGCGGGGGGTGCTTGCAACCGCCCTAACCACCCTCTAGATCTGCCACTGATGAGCGCCAGATTCAAACATGGGTATGTGGGGTGATTCGTCTTTTCTTATCGACGTCAGGACGAACTAAATTATGCCGAAAACGAACTAAATTTAAGAATTGCGAGACAGAATAGAACAACCTGGTTCGCATAGCAAGTTTTGTCGTCTTGAATATCTATTATGCGCTTTGTCTGTCGAACTTTGTACTTTTCTCTGCCTGTAAAATTTCCCCAGTCGTCGCGTACATTTTTTCGTCCTTTTCGCTTTCTCAACATAAAAGGTAAGCATGCGTTGACCCATCTACTTATCTATCTATCTAAAACACCGCTGACCGCAGCAAGCAGCAAGTGGATGCACATTAACTGCCATCGAAGTGAGTATGCACTATGAACTGGTAATAAACGGATAAAAACATGGACTAATGACGTGAGGGTGCAATACGCACGGCGAGTCACGGGACTAAAAAGGAATTCTAATTACAGTCCGCTCGCGAAATACAACAGACTCCCAACGTACTAACCACAGAACTTCTAATCGACTGCCAAATTAAATTTGACTACGTCACGAATTTTCTATGTTAAAATTTGTAATAAAATTTTATCATTTTTTTGTTGCCATTTCTTTACATTAAAAGTAAGAACTAACGGGACTAAAACGTCATCGTCAAATTCTTACCTGATAAGATTGTTTCTCAACTAGTTAAAAATCCAAAAAACCATGTTTACATCGAACAATATAGTAAAACACAGAGCAAGTATAATGCCCACAAATTTAAACATGAAAAAGTGAAAAAGAATTACTTATATTTTGTGAAAAAGTGGAAATGTTTTTGTTATTTTTACTATTTAAGGTGACGTAATCACTTTAACAGCTGTTTAATCTCGCGAGTCTGTGATTATTACATACATAGTACGTGCATTTCCCAGCCAGCGTGGCGCCAGCAGTGGGAGCATTGGAATGTTAACATGGAAGTGAGTGCAGCATAGTAGTAAGAGCAGATAATAGTGAAATAACCAAAAAAATTAGGATCAATTACCAAAAAAAAAGGTAATAAACATTGGAGTTGTAAGCTCGCCTCAATGCGCGACCTGTTATCATTTCTCTAGTTATATTTTGAGCGTAGCTAGATTTTACTAGATTGACCAGTGCATGCTTACATCATTTTCAAGTAGCTCCTTCTCGTAGTGTCGTATACCGGACATGTGGGATGCCAGCATTCGTGTGGTGATGGTCACCTATCAGACACAACGTTTGACCATCAATGCTTGTCCGAACATGTCAGTAATTGTGCAAATGCAATAAAATCCCAAACAGAACACTGTAAGTAGCAATGCCCCAACGGCATACATAATTACACAAGATATTCCCGAACAGTCCATCATAAGGTGATGTTTAGAAATCATTTAATACAAATATATAAATAATAACATATATAATAATAGTAATACTAATAATAAATAATAATAGTATTATTATTAAATAATGAATAGAAATGCCATTGAACCTTCTGCTTATTGTAGGTCTTCTCTGGGAAATCCTTGACGTATTTTTGCAGAGGTGCGTCCAGGTCGAGCTTTCCCTCCTCCACCAGCCTGGCCACGTCTGTCATCGTAATGCTCTTGGATATGGAGGCGATCCGCATCACCGTGTCTGCAAAGACAAAACAAACCAAAAGCTAGAGATATCGCCCACTAGATGGCGTTGTAAATATTAAGCACATAGCTAGCGCCCACTACCAAATTACTAAGTTAGTGTTGCACTCATATCTATATGTAAGGGTCACAAAGGGGACCCCCCCCTTTCCACCACACACACACACACACACACACACACACACACACACACAAACTGTATTTTATAGACACGCTTTCCTGCTATTGAGGTGGTTTTACTGAATAATTGCCACTCGAGAGATTCGAGGAAACATGTCCTTTATAGACAGGTGTCCTTTATAGACAGGTGGTCCTTATAGACAGGGTGTCCTTTATAGACAAGTGTCCTTTTAGGTAGACAGGTGGTCCTGTTATAGACTAGCGGGGCGGGCGGGGGATGGTGGTCGTATATCATCGCACAAGTCGTCCTTTATTAGACAGTGTGTCCTTTATAGAGCATGGGGGTTCTTTGATAGACAGGCGGCCCTTGTTTATAGAAGTGTCCTTTTATAGACAGGTGTCCTTATATAGTACATGTGTCCTTATAGACAGTGTCCTTTATAGACAGGCGTATCTTTTATAAACAGGCCTGCTGTATAGTACAGGTGTCCTTCGATAGACAGGCTGGTCCTTTATAGACAGGCATCTTTATAGGACAGGTGTCCAGGTGTCCTTTATAGACAGCGTGTCTTTATAGACAAGTCTCCTTTATAGCACATGGTGGTCCTTTATAGACAGCATCTTTTAGACAGGTGTCCAGGCTGTCCTTTATACGACAGGTGTCCTTTATTTAGACAGGCATCCTTTATAGACAGGTGTCCTTTATATAGACAGTGTGTCCTTTTATACACAGCATCCTTTATAGACAAGTGTCCAGGTGTCCTTTTTATATGACAGCGTGTCCTTGTTATTAGACATGGTGTCCTTTATAGGCACAGCGTGTCCTTGTATACCGACAGCGTGCTTTATAGACAGGTGTCCTTTATAGACAGGTGTCCTTTATAGACAGGCATCCTTTATAGACAGGTGTCCAGGTGTCCTTTATAGACAGGTGTCCTTTATAGACAAGTGTCCTTTATAGACAGGTGTCCTTTATAGACAGGTGTCCTTTATTAAAACAGGCCGTCCTTTATAGACAGGCGTCTGTCCTTTATAGACATGGCTGTCCTCTTATAGACAGGCATCCTTTTATAGACAGGTGTCCTTTATAGACAGGCTGCTCCTTTATAGAAAGTTGTCTTTATAGACAAGGTGTCCTTTATAGACAGCGATGTCCTTTATAGACAGGTGCTCCTGTATAGCACAGGTGTCTGTTATAGACAGTGCGATCTTTATGAGACAGGTGTCCAGGTGTCCTTTATAGACAAGTGTCCTTTATAGACAAGCTCCGTCCTTTACAGACAAGTGTCCTTTATAGACAGGTGTCCTTTATAGACAAGGTGCTCCTTTATAGACACGTGTCCTTTATAGACAGCATCCTTTTATAGACACATCCTTTATAGACAGGTGTCCTTATATGACACGATGTCCTGTATAGCACAGCTGTCCTTTATTAGACATGTGTCCTTTATAGACAGGTGTCCTTTATAGCACAGGTGTCCTTTATAGACAGGTGGTCCTTTATAGGCAGGTCGTTCCTTTATAGACAGCGTGTCCTTTATAGACAGGTGTCCTTTATAGACATGTTGTCCTTTGTATTAGACATGGATGTCCTTTATAGACTAAGTGTCCTTTATAGACAGGTGCTCCTTTATAGACGGTGTCCTTTATAACAGCGGTGCTCCTTTATAGACAGGTTCCTTTATAGCACAGCGTGCTCCTTTATAGGACACGACGCTGTCCTTTATAGACAGTTCCTTTATAGGACAAGCTGTCCTTTATAGACAAGTGTTCCTTTTATAAGACAGTGTCCTTTATAGACAAGTGCTCCTTTATAGGCACAAGTGTCCTTTATAGACAGGTGTCCTTTAATAGCACAGGCTGTCTCTTTATAGACAGAGTGTCCTTTATAGCACAGGTGTCCTTTATAGACAGGTGTCCTTTATAGACAAGTGTCCTTTATAGACAAGTGTCCTTTTATAAGACAGGCTGTTCCTTATAGACAGGCTGTCCTTTATAGACAGTGCTAGTCCTTATAACAGGTGTCCTTTTAGACAGCGTGCCCTTTATAGACAGGTGTCCAGGTGTCCTCCCGTTATAGCACAGGCTGTCCTTTATAGACAGGCATCCTTTAATAGACACGCGTGTCTAGGTGCTCCCTTTATAGACAGGCTGTCCTTTATAGACAAGTGTCCTTTATAGAAGGTTGCTCGTTATAAACAGGTGTCAGGTGTCCTTTATAGACAGGTTCCCTTATGTAGACAAGTGTCCTGTATAGGACAGCGTGTTCCTTTATTTAGACAGGTGCTCCTTCTATAAAACGTGTCCGTTATAAGACATGCCTGTCCTTATAGACACGGTGTCTTTATAGAAAACATGCCGGCTTTCCTTTACTAGACAGGTGTCCTTTAATAGACAGCGTGTCCTTTATAGACAGGTGTTCCTTTATAGCAAGTGTCCTTTATAGACACCCAGTCGTCCTTTATAGACAAGTGTCCTTTATAGACAAGTGCTCCTTTTTCTATAGACAAGTGTCCTTTATAGACAGGCGTCCTTTATAGACATGTGTCCTTTATAGACAGGCGTTTCTTTATAGACAGGATGTTCCTTTATAGACAGGCGTTTCTTAGTAGATAGTTCCTTTATAGATAGGTGTCCTTTATAGACAAGTGTCCTTTATAAGACAAGTGTCCTTTTAATAGACATTGTTGTCCTTTATAGACAGGTGTCCTTTAATAGACAGGCTGTCCTTACAGAACAGGTGTCCTTTATAGACACGCGCTGTCCTTTTATAGACAGGTGTCCTTTATAGACAGGTGTCCTTTATAGACAGGTGTCCTTTATAGACAGGTGTCCTTTATAGACAGGTGTCCTTTATAGACAAGTGTCCTTTCTATAGAGGTTTCTGCTCATGCAGTTTGAACTGTTCTGACTGGACACGCACCTGGATGACATTGGACACGATTTTCGACGTCAGAGTAGCCGAATCCTTCCACCCATACGAGCTTTCCGTTCAGGCCTACAGCAACGACCAAGCCCGGCGCACCAACTTCATCCTGACAAAGAGAAAGCGAGACAGAAATGAAGTATTAATATTTATATTGCAATGCCATCCGTAACGAGAGCCCCGTTACAAACTAAAGTTCTACAAACTACAACTTACTACTAACTACAAACTTACAACAATCTGCTTTATTCCACTTAATAAATAATTAAATCTATTTTTAGTGTGGATGAGGATGGTTAGCATGGATCGAAATCCTAAGGCGCCCGCGGGCCCGATGCCCGTATTTTAGGTCTCGGGCCTGACATTTATAATACTAGCAAGCCTGACGGGCCCGTAGAAAATCCACCCCAGCATGCAAGACCGTCCCCGGAACGCCAGCGAAGATGAAAAGTTACCGCAGTATCGCTCACTAGTAGTGACTGAATATGTTCTTTGTATTACTGTATATAAACCATTGTCAAAATTTCAAATTTCAGACTTCTTTTTTTTTAAATGCTGCGGTATCCAGGGAATGGTGCGGGCCTGTAATTTGCCTGGCGGGCCTGTAAAATCCCTTGCCTACATGCCTGGCTGGTGTGTAAATTTCCAAACTACTTTCTACCCCTGGTTAGATACAGTTAGGTAAGCTAGCAAAGCTAAGGTGGGTGGGGGAGGGGGAATATCAATTCGTTAGCACATAGTACATTGAACTTAGTCTATTCCTTCTGTTGTGGCCTTGAGCAATGCTCTGTATAAATGCTGATTTGCATGAGTCAACTAATTCGGAAGAAATTTGTTCCGATTGCCAATGTCAAATAATATCACCTATGTAAAAGAAAGTAGCTTTGCCGGGCAATACCTTTTATCAAGCAACATAGATACAGACACCCTATAGATACTGCATTATTGCACTAGAAGGACATGCACGCACGCACGCACACAAGCACGCACGTAGGAATCCAACGGACTCCCTGCCCTCAAAAAGAGGGAGTCCGCAACAAAATAAGGGTGTCCGACTGTCCGCAGTCTGAAGTTCAAAACTAAAGATATTCACAATATTAACGCATGTGCTTATTTTGAAGATTCATGCGGTGGCACGTCTGCCAAATTGTCCTTGAACATTTGCTAAAAAAAATACGGTAATTCCGCGAGGTCGTGCTCTGGAACAAACTAGTTAGTATATAGCAGAATTTTCAGGGAGTCACACGGACTCCTGCATATGTTAAATCAGGGAGTCCGACAGTAAATCAGAGAGTATTCGACTCCGGTCCGAGTCTCGCGTTAATTTTCGCCCCTTGGAAATATTACACAACAAGAAATTTTTCACTTGTCCCGGGCAAGCGGACAACCGTTAATGCCGAGGGCTGTTTAAGATTGCCATGTGCATTTATT